TCGCGCCAAATCTCTCCCACGGAGTTCTGTGCACCCAACTCAAACACAATTATTTTTTCTGCTTGGGACCACTCCGCGTTATCACGGACTGAACGTTGTATGTAGAACTTCAAGAACCCCAACGCCACGGTGTTCATCCCGGCGTCTTATTGCCAGGGTCTTAACTTCTTACTATAAGAAATTCTTGTAAATCCCAGTAGACCTACAGTAGTAATGTCTATCTGCTACCTCATGTTATTGTACAAGTATTGATTAGATAATAGATGTTATAATACGTATAATAGTTACGTCCTTCCTTCGAGCATTTTTCCCAAACTAGGTTGGAGTCGGCTTTAAATCTGCTACGATAAGGCTGAACTTCGGCCTTTTACGCGGAGCGACAGCCATCAGACCTCCACAACCCAATTACTAGGTAATATTGAAGGTTTGTAGAAAGACTGTTGTCTAACTACCCGTAACGATTGCCACAGATGATCCTATGGCAACCGTGAACGACGTCATAACGTGATCTCCGAGGCACGGAAGGGTCTCAATGTGTTCAGAATGGTCACCCATCCATAGATGGATCGCTCTAGCTTTTCGGATTGCCTCGGGTAAGTTATTAAATAGTCTAACTGCCGTCCCCAAAAGTCGAAGTGAGGTGATCGATGCACTGTTTTTGAGTTAGCCCTCACCGAAAATCGTAATAAATCATTACACGAAAATTTTCGCGATTTACATCCATAGTGATAAAGACACGCAATTTTCAAAATGACGCCACAAAGGATAAACAAATGACAGCTATATGAAACTAATTTTATTTTTCAGCCAAAGAGTTCCATTTTTAAATGTTATAATTAGTTTTTTAATGTTTTTCTATAACTGGCCAGTTCCGGATACATAAATAGCAACCTAAGTCTAAGCAACTTACAAAAAGAAGTAAAATCTTGTAAAACAGAAAAGTAATGAACATTAAATATTTTTTCACCTTACGCCCATGTAACGGTACCTAAAGGCCAATGAAGGCCTTTGACTAAGTTGTATAGTTTATTAAGTTAGGTCTTATAGAGTTAGAAGCTTGGTTCTACATGAGTTATCTGTTTTTTTAACGATTTTACTTTCAATAGCAATAAACTTGTAGTAGTTTTTGATTGAATATAACACAATATCCAAAATAAAATCAATCTGAAAAAAAAAACAAAATAATATAAAATGAAACTAGATTATTTAAAAGGACAAAGTTTATCCTGTGCTGCGGGGGACTTTATAAATACTCATGAAACGGACACAAAGAACACCTAAACTCAGAAGATCACACAAAGTGTTGTCCCATGTGGGGGTTGAACCCATAAAATTCAGCGCAGTAGGAAGCGGCGAGGTGATCGCTCAAAATACTGCTTCATTCATGCAGTCAGAATCGACTGACCGAAGTGTACGTAAGCATAAATGACAATATGCTCATGAATTATGCACTATTGAGCATGGCGGTAGTAGGTTATCTGCTTTTTGGATCACTTTGGTCAGTGTACGAAAGTTTTCTTTGATTTATGTGAACTGTCACACCGGATGGTGTAGGCTCATTTATGCTACCAATTTAATTGTATCTTTTAAGTAATTGTGGACACAGAAAAAAGTCCAAAAGGCCACCAAAAAACCTTAACAAATCTTTTTCGGTTCCTACTGCTGTTCTTTTTATACCTGCAATTATCACCTGCGTATTTAACTCTGTTTCCATTAGATGAGTTGAAGACAAACGTCAGTTCAATTTATCATTTAAAAAAACTGAAACTAATAAACTACAACGAAGCTCTGGACCGAAATGTAAGCAAGAAAATTTGACTCTGTGCCAAACTATTACACTAAAAATGTCTGCGAGGATTTACACCATGTAAATCATTATCAGCTCATTACTGTTATGTCAAGATGACTTTTTAAAAGTAGCTTGTCTTTCTACCTGCGTGGGTAGGCAAGGACATCCTAATAACATTTGATTAACATTTCATTCTGGTTGTACTAATACACCATAATTACGATCCCTGACGAATACAAAGCGACGTCCACGGTTAATAACTATTCTTAACATAAGATACTACTGCTTCCGCCTATGACTGCGCTTTTCGTCATGTACATTTTGTCAATCAGCTTAGATGCCTCTCGGAAATCTCTGTGAAAGGTATCTTCCATGTTCTTCTTCAAAGTGGGCAAAACTCAAAACTCCTTTCCACGAGTGTTTATCAAAATTATTATTTTTCTTTTTTTTTAATTACCTCAATTTCTAACATTGCAAAGGTTAAAGTTGAATCCTTTTTTGGCTTTGATTGCAGAAACCACTTATCCAGTGTCATCAATTAATTTTATATGTTATAGTAAAAATTAACAAGTGACCTATTAACCACCCCATTACAGCCACCGGCTAATGGGCACTATATCCTTGGATCCTCCGACTTCCACGTCAACTCCGATAATTAATTCTAGATACATCTGTCTGGGGGTCCTCTTTCCGATTACTTTTGCTCGTCATCGGTTCTTCGTCAGGCACGTGGTGACCCGTGTTAGGGCTTAATAACGAAATTAGTTGGAGTGAGAACAAAACTCTGCTTGTTTCCTTATAACAAATAATGGACACGACACACGGCGTCCGTCTCACGGTACAAGTTGAATTATTGATGTTTTATTGATTTTATGTGACTGTGAAGTGTAGGTCAAATACTCACGCTTGTGTTAGCAGAACAGCTAAATATAGGAAGGCGTTCTACTAAAAATCGTCACATAGTTATGTACATTTTGATAGTCAGTTAATGTCCTGGTGTTCTAATGGCGTCGCAACTTACAATATGGATATAGGTGTAAAAGGACTCGTAAAAGCAGTCCCAGTGTCGCTAATCCACTTGCTGTACCACTTACCCTAGATTTTTTTTACAGCAAATGACCTTCCTCTTGTATCCTGGCTGAAAACAATAATGTTTTCTTTTATGGCGTCTAGCCAAACTTCTTGTAACCCCCAAAATTAAATTGGGAAAGGGAAAGAAAATGATGATGATTTATGTGATTCTCTTTCTGGCCGGTCTCTCACGTCTGAGGATCGTCGTCAGCATTAGAGTTGCATCCAGAATGGATAATGTATCTCCACCGGTTCCTGTACAGTACTTTGTTTCTAAATTGCATTCGATATACAGCCCAGCTCTTGGGGACATGATATGCTTATATCAAACAGGGAAGGGAAGGAATAATTGCTTTTGGTGAAAAGTAGATACAATTGCACAAAACAGTAGTAAAGCTAACTACAACGCTGACAAATATAACTGCAGCACTGCAAAGTGCAGCAACATGTTCCTAAGCTCTAGTCAGGCAAGCCTGCTGCATCTACATGAGTACTGAGCGTTCCTGCCGTATCAGTCTTTATAATCATATCTGTAACCTTCTGACAAATACGACAAGAGAATTTCCAAATAACTTTTTTAGAAACAGTCCTAGTACAAAATGACTATCTCAGTAATATAGCATTACATTGGTGACATACCTGGAATCAATTAGCAAAAAAGACAATTATGGCTTAGTCATTCAATTTAATTGGACGGGTCGAAAACAATAATAACTTCACACATCTCACTCACAGTCGTCTGATCCCAAACTAACCAGAGCTTCTACTATGGTAACCAGGCTCCTGATAAACATACTTATATATTTCTAAATCCATACATACAGATAAATTACACCCAGGTGCAGATCAAATGATCGTGTTCATCACATAATACACCGATTTCCTATAAAGCCGTAGCATCACTCCGGAAATTCGAAACACATAATATGTGCAGAAGCATGGGTCTCTCAAGGTTAAAAAAACTATAATTTTCTGAGACAATGGTACATATTTGGATTTTGTTTTGAAAACATCTTGCGATAAGACGAGCTGTAAGAAAAGAGAACAAGCAGAGAAAACTGACCGTATTCTTAGTATTTTTGTTATGTTGAATCATTTTACAACGTTTTATTTCAACACTCAATGTTATTGCAACTGAGATTCGGCTGAAATCAGAGCGCGGAACAAAATTTTTGTTGTAAGATTTTAAACTGCTCAGATTGACGTAACAAATGCTAAAAAACAGTAGTGTTGCCACTAAACTGTTTATTATAGGAGTTTAGTTTTATTTTCAAGTTTAGTTTAGTAGTTTAATTTTATATTCATACTTTACAACTTGTTGTTGTTTTTTTTTTGGCCAAAAAGTCCATTCTCGCTAGGAATATATCCTGTGTCGCGGGGGACTATACAAACATACGTGAAACGGACACTAAAAACACCCAGACTCAAAATGACAATTTCTGGTTCACACGAAGTGTTGTGCCATGTAGGTATCGAACTACAACACTCTGCGCAAGATGAAGCAGCGAAGTGACCGCTTACTAGCATCCGTGTAGTTAAATATAAAATACACTCAGAGCTTAAACCCACAAAGGAATAGGCAGAGGCGTATTAACACACATATTTTGGGAACTATAATGTTGGTCCCATTTACGTAAGAGAGGCTGAGAGAGAGGAGAACTGGGCACTTTAGGAAGTAGTTGGGAAATTTGGACTTCGACACGAGAGGAAAAGCACTTAAGAAAGGGATATTGATTGGGGAGTTGTGACTGAGTAGGTTAACACATTGCAAAGTTAAGCAATCCTAGTCAGGTCAGTCTGACATTGAGACCCTCATTACCAAGGAGAGCATGGTCTTCTATACCACCTAGTACTTGGGTTGTAGAGGTCTGATGGCAATCGCTTGGGGTAAAAAAATCGAAGTTCACGTATTGTAGTTGACTTAAAGCAACCCCAACCTAGTTTAAATCTAAATTTGTAATTTTGTCATATCCTGACTACTTAATGGAATATGTTGCCGACATTCCACTTCACCGTGAGCCTCGGTGAGGTCATGTATAGTACAGGTTTCCACACGAAAAAAGGAGGAATATTTTAGCAAGATATTTGAACTTCTCTAAGAAATAATGAAAATGATTTTTTTTGTTCCAGTAACTAAACCATGGAAGATGGTAACATCCAGGAGCAAGCCATTAAGAAAGTTACTACCCTGTACGACCACCGAACTCCAAGAAGGTTGGAACATTTGGACAAACTTGGACAGAATCTAGAGAACCTTAGCAAGCAGGTTGGCAGAAAGGTCGGCCAAACCTTTGAGAGGGTTGCTCCAAATTCGTTTTTGGATAGTATAAGTTATGAGAGTGAGAGACTTAGAAGTCATAGTGAGCATTCTTCTAGAAGGAATAGTGATGATGGTGGGAGGGCCAGACAAGAGGGATTTAGGCATGGTAAGTTTAAACTATCTGGTAGGAAAACGATATACTAAGACTACTAACTTCCTAATAAATGTACGCCCATTTATAAATAATTTCTTCCGAGTCCATCCAGCGGTTATACCTGTAGCTTCGGTAAAAAGTTGGTAATGTATTAATCAGCTGTATATTTATGATATTAAGCTATTATATGTCCCTCATAATGTTAATCAATATAAGTGCTTCCTCCTTCCCCCGAACCATGCTAAATATAGAACAATGAAATTATGGTTTCATTGTTATCCATTAAAATTTGTTTATTCTATTTTCTTTACCTTTATTAGCATAAGAGTCAGCATTCTATCTTTCTTCTGCCACCTTAATCTTAAGTATGTTTATTAATAGGCCTTCTATCCTTCTTCTGCCACCTTAATCTCAAGTATGTTTATTAATAGGCCTTCTATCCTTCTTCTGCCACCTTAATCTTAGGTAGGTTTATTAATAGGCCTTCTATCCTTCTTCTGCCACCTTAATCTTAAGTATGTTTATTAATAGGCCTTTTTTCTAAACGACCTAGAGACGGTTCTTTATGATACGCTGAGGTAACCACCTTTGATTTACTTTGCAGAGGGCAATACATTTTTCCCTGACGGGCTTGATGATGGCTTTGTTATATGTCTAGGTGTAATTTATTTATAATATGAATGTATTTAGAAATATATGTGGCCCGGTTGAGAGTAATAGGCGTATACATGGTTACTTCCGCGAGTACTTAAATCGGATCGGACGTGAGGAAAGGGCACAATGCCAGCACTGCCAACTTTTTTTTTTTTTATTTTTTTTTTTTTTTTTATTTATTTATTTAAATAAGAAAACAGCATAACATAAAAACATGAAACACCCATAAAACACGTATTGGTTTATCTTGGGTGTGAGTGTACATTCCTCATTCCTTTATGTTTCGTTTGTTTATTCACTATAATAACAATAATTTTAATAGAAATACACTGGTAGCAGTACAATAAATAAAAGGTGCAGGGTAGGTAGGCGTACAAATCTTCCAAGCGTTTGTTGACCGGTATGGTTGTTTACGTTCGATAACAGTATGTTATTCGCACCTACTTTTACTACTACCTACTTTTACGAGTTCGCTTAGAGTCTATATAGGGTGATTGGTAACTAGTACTTTTTAAATACTATAAGTGCATTAATTATTTTAAAGGCATATGCATATATTATATATCAGATGTATTTATTTATAAATTATATAAATTGTAAAGGTTCATTTTAGCTTACTGTTTGCAGGTAGGTAAATATTTTTGACTATTCGTTTTATGTTGAGTAAATCTATTTTATTCCTTGTTTCTAATGGTAGTTCATTTATAAGTCTTGGTACGAGGTAGTCGTTAGTTCGCTTGCCGTAGTAGTTGTTAGCTGTTTTGGTAGTTAGCATTTTATTTACAATTTGACGGGTCATAATGGGGTGTTTTTTTAGATTACTATTGAATTTAAAATAATTTTCTATAATTATCACCATTTTTACTTTCTCATGAACGGGTATTATTTTACAAAATTGAAACAATTTTTCATCATCATAATTAAATTGTATACGTACTTTTTTGGGTACAATAGCCTTTAACAAACGAAGTTGTAAGGAATGAATTTTTTGCAGATATGATGGAAATGTCCGTCCATAACTACTGAGTCCATATAGTATAATACTCTCCGCTAAGGCTGTATACATATCTAACAAAATAGGGAAAGGTATTTTATATTTAAGTATATAGAATTTTGCTAAAACGGCGCGTAGTTTATCACACACAGTTTCAATTTGAGCAGACCAATTAAACCTATCGTCTATTATTACTCCTAAATACGTGGTTTGAGAAACTTTATTAAGGCGTTCGCAATTACATTGAGTTGTTCTACCATGCAAACAGTCGTGATCATGGGCAATCAATTTAATGTCAGAGCCACTGTACTTTTTATTATAGATCGATGACACATGAAGCAGTTTCGTTTTCTGCGCATTCAGGACTAACCCTACATCATGAGACCACTTTGTTAGAAGCGTGAAATCTGTTTGTAGTCGATTCATTGCTACTTCTATATCACGATCCGCCAAAATGAGACAGGTATCATCAGCATACTGATAAACAACACAGTTCTTTATGATGTTGTTCATGTCGTTCACATAGGCAAGATAATGCAGAGGGCCTAGTACAGATCCCTGCGCTGTTCCCCCCACAACTTTAACCTGCTCACTCAAGTCTTCATTTATCTTTACGTGATAGGACCGGTTTTTTAAATAGTCTGCACACCAAGCTAGAGGGGGACCGCGAATGCCACTGCATTCTAATTTTTGTAGCAGTGTGTCATGCCTCAAGGTGTCGAATGCTTTACTATAATCTATGAAGACCATGAGAACATGCTTTTTTTCATCTAATCTGCCGTTTACATAATCTGTAAAACTGGAGAGTAGTTGCGTTGTACTCTTTTTAGGCTGGAAACCGAACTGATTATCTGATATAATTTGGTGTTGTCTATAAAAGTTATGAATTTCATTACAAATGTATTTTTCTACTACTTTGTCAATTATAGGTAATATAGTAATAGGCCTATAGTTGCTGTACTCATTAGGTGGTCCTTTTTTATAGATTGGTCTAACTAAGCCTACCTTAAGTTCGTCTGGGTAAGAGCTCTTATTCAGACTTTCTTTAGTTAATTTTGCAATTGCATAGGATAACTTTTTTGCTGTGATTGTAATGTCTATTGGTTTAATTTTGTCTATTCCAGGGGATTTATTGGTTTTAATGTTTTTAATAATTTTAAGAATGTCTGTTTTTGTAGGTTTTTTTAATAATATGGAAACGTTTGCATTTTTGACATAAGAGTTTGGGTCGAGTAGGGAGATTTTGCATTTAGGTACTATAACTTTTACTGAGTTTTCGAATTCTTTAGCAAAATTATTGGCTATAGTTTTACCACAACAGTTTTGTTGGCTAAATGCCTTTAAAATTATGCTGTCCAAAGAGGACTTCAGTCGACCTGTCATCCCATTTAATATTGCCCACAGTTTTTTGGGATTGCCCCTATATGTATTGATTTCCTTTTTGTAGAATTGATTTCTGGTTTTCTGTACAGTTTTGTTACATTTATTGCGTAATTGTGTATATTCTAATTTAAGTACTTTGTTTGTTGTATCTTTTTTTAATTCTATGAGTTTTTCGTCTTTCAGTTTACACATTTTAATTATTTTGTTATTAACCCATTTCTTTTTGTTCCTATCAGATGAGATTAACTTTGTTTGATATTTAGATTTTTCGTAACAGTTATCTATATTAGTTTTAATTATACTATATATTTTGTTTGGACAGGTGAGATTTTCTATGTTGTTCCACACGATACTGTTTAGCTCCTTCTCAAAAACGGATTTATCATACCGCAGCACATAATTACAATCACTCTGTATACGTGCTGTACACGGGAGCGAGGCAACAGTGACGCGATGGTCCGCTAGTACTGTACCGAGCGCCGCACAATACACATCTTGCGTGCGGGATCTTATAAATATATGATCGATACAGGTTTTTGTCAAAATATCTTTTTTAAATTCAATTCTTGTATAGTCTTTGATCCCGCACATAAGACCGTGTTCGTACATTAAGTTCAGATACAGTTGTACTATGGAAGTCTTGGATTTAAGATCTATATTTATATCTCCAATAAGTATGAGATCCTCTGATTGATAGTTCCTGAGAATGTTGCCTAGTTCGGAGAGAAAGCGAGTCTTATTACGCGCCGGTGGTCTATAAAGTGCAAACAGAACTACGGTCATGTTGCATTTTGTAGTTATTTTGCCTACAATGCTTTCCGCGTGAATAGTGGTGGTTTTGTAAGGCGTAAATTTGTGACTTTTGTGTACATAAACGATTATACCACCGCCTTTCTGCTTTTTTCGCAGTTCTGTATGCATATCATAGTTAGGTATGTGATATAACGAGCTTATGCGTTCAGATATACCCACTTCGGTCAGCACAATAATATCTACATTTCTGTTTGAGTTAATTAGTAGTAATTCGATTTTAGAGAAGTTTTTAATTATTGAACGAATGTTAACATGAAGAAAAGTTAGGTAGCGTGCTTTATTATAAGGGTCAGGTAGCTGTTCAAAATAATATGAGATGGTTGGGCAGTCGAGTAGTTCGGTTATGTTATCTTGGATGTCTTCCATTTTTAGGGTCATTTTTATTATTATTTTGTTAGGCAATTAATATTACGAAGAAATTAAAAAATGCACAATATTACGAATGAGTGAGGTTTTTGATATCACTCTCAGAGCGTAGGACAATGACTTTCGCGTTATCGGTTTAACGTAAAAGTACCCTACCTTCTCTGCACCAAATATATTTATAGGTCTCTTTTAGTTCCTGCTTGGCTTTCCAGAGTAGATTCTTTACATGCGGGGTAATGCCTTCGCGTATAAATATTTTGTTCTCATTTATTATTGTGTCACAACCAGTAACTACATCGGAGACCTGTACGGATATTTTTCGAGCCGCGTCTACCCACTGTCTTTTCATTTCTTCATTTTGAAGCTTGATATGAAGAGTTCCAAGTTTTCCTTCCTTAGTAGGCATTCGCTTTACCTCCTTCACCTCCTCTGGATTAATTTTCAGTTTACTCGCGAGTCCTCTGGCGATGGCTCTTAGATTTTCTTTATTTTGAGTAGGAATTCCTTGGACTTCAACCATTTTTTTTAGTTCTCTTTGTTCGTATTCACTTAGACGTTGCTCTTGCGCCTCCAATCTTCTTTCTAGGTGTTTGTTGCGGTTTACAAGATCAGTATTTTTCTTATCAAGCTCTTTGATCTTTTCTTTGAATGCTTCTATGCTTTCCAAACATTCATCCATTTTATCACTTGTAAACTGCACTGCCTGTTGCAGTTCTTTGAGATCACGCTTCAACACTTTATCCATGTGTTTAGTGATGTCAGCTACGAGTTTCTTTGTGTCGATTGGGTATATAGCTCCATCATCCTGCACGTCATCATCCTCATCATCTTCTCCTTTGTCCGGGACTGCAAACGAAAATCTTTTAGGTGATTTAGCCGCGCACTGATGGCAAGTCCACTCGAGGTTTTCGGCTGCTTGCAGAAGACCAAGCTGTTTTGCGGTGAGCTCGGTGCAGGTGCTGCTTGCGTGTGTCACACTGCTACATTTGTTGCACTCCAGTCCTGGGAACTTCTTGGTTATGACTTTATTGCAACGAGTACATTTTGCCATCTTGTGGGTGATTGAGAAACTTTGTAACCGAGTTGATACGTGTTTACTATGCAACGATCGAATGAGACTCCGCCCAGCATACGCTGAAGGACTTTCCCGATTTGGGCGTCTGAGCAGAATGTCCTGGTCGATCGAATCGGACGAGACTTATTTCCGCCAGAAATCATTGCTGCAAATCTAGAAATCTAGTCTTCGTGGGCTTTCGGCAGGTGTTATCAATTCATCCACAATACATGTGATTTACAAAACGTAAAATATCACTATGCACAAGAAGTGATTTCAGAAAAATGTCCCTTACTTGGGTTTGAGATGGGGCAAGCGAGCAGCAGCGCGCCTCCCTTCCACTGACTACCGACCGGAGCGCAAATGTGTGATTGTTGTAAATGGACTTTTTCAGTATTTCTACTCAATTGAATAAAACGGCATTTAAGCATTTTACCACGTTGTAGAGAAAGTCTCAACGAACAAAAGTGTTTTTGAAAATTCATTCCAAGTTATTCCAAAATTTTTTTTAGAACCATTCTCCCGCAGGTTTAATAGTTTTTGACTTCTTTTTTGTTACAAAAGAAGTCAAAAACTCGACCGTTCGATCGAACGGATCCGCTTTGAAATTAAATATGTTTATCGTAACGTTATCAGCTAACGGATAAAAAAAGAAAATGGAGATTATCAATTTCACCATTTTTAGGCCCATTTTCCGCTAATTCTATCCAACTAGCGGCTTCGCTTGCATGAAAATGACGAACTTCCACACAACTGTTTATCTCTTATTTTACCACCTTAGAGGTGAAATTGCACCGCAGGTCGCAGAACAACTTCCGTACTCGATAAGCGCAGGCCAAGGGATGACAAGTGAGGTTGTCTGTCACCCTAGCAGAAGCAAGCCGGAGGCCGGTAGGAGTAGAATGGGAAGATCCTGTTTCCCTCACGCGCTAGGGTCATCTACAAGCCGTAGATGGCCCGTGGTAGGTCAGAGTACCAGGGATTTCCATCCTAGGGTACAGCTGGTTTCGATGTTTCGATTTTTAGCCGGTTCGAGTCCCACATAACCACCTCATCGGTGGTATCCGAGGGGATTTTCGCGCAGAAAAAAAGGGGTGAAGTTGACAAAAACCCTTTCTTAGTGGACGCTTAAAACATAAAAGCATCAGATGCCAAAATTTCACGTTTATTGCCCCTGCGGTTTGCTGGCAGGCTGTGCGTCGATTAATCAGTCTGTCAATCAGGACAAGTAATTTTATAAATATGTTAAGATTTAACTGGTTGTTTTGTGCGCATGTGACAGCTTACCATACATATTCAGAGACTCAAGAGAAGTAAACATAAACACAGAATATTCAAACTTACGCCCCAAAGCTGTCTCAATGCTTAAATGTTTTTGTGAAAAAGATGTTTTTAAGTTGAAACCCCCGACTTTTACAAGGTTTGGTATAAAATAATTGACACTGACATATATGAGAGTTTTTCAGAATGTTCTAAAAGGTTTTTAAAATCCACGATCCCATTATTGCTCTCGTAGCATCAGCATCAGCAGACTCTTGCATTATCATTAAATCTTATTTTAGTTTAAAAACTGCATTAGTAAATTGAGATACATTTAGAAAAATAAAGAAAACGATATTTTCATTGATTACTTATGTAACCTTACAAGATTTATAAACCACCCAAAGATTGACTGGAAGTGAATGCCCTGGGCATTTAGTCCGCCGATGTACAAAAGTGCATGATACACTTATATCAGAAAAAAATAAACACAGTTGTTGTTGTGGTATTGCAAAAAGATTTTGAGGACACGGTAACCGACCATCATCGAGCGGGCCTGTATTTTTCACTTAATATTCCCAACTTAATGATCCATACTTCCATACTTAAATTATAAATATGAAAGTGAGGTTGTTTGTTACCCTTTCGTTGATTTAAAAAAATATGGACAGCTACATTATCAGCGAGTAACATAGGCTAATTTTTAACGCAATTACATACACGCGAGCAGTGCCGCGGCCAAAAGGTAGTATTAAATAATTTATATCATGCATCACACATTATGAGTATTCTTATTAACTCTGCTGTTAAATTAAAATTAAAGTACCATCTGGTGTTTGAAACTCACAGTAGGTTATCCATTTTCAGATGGCATCAGCTCAGAACCTCCTACGGCAAACGTTACGAATTTCAACGCTTGGGGCGAGCTGAACAGCTCTACCTCCACGACTAGAACAGAACTTAGTTCTTCTGATGGAGGAGATGATCAAGTATGTTCATACGCATCCTTAAATATATATAAGGATATCACACGAAAGTTTTGTAATAGCCCCTCAAATGTAGCTTCGATTTCGATTGACTCATTGGCAGAAAAAGATAACATTCAGCAGAAAAACATTCGTATTAAAAGATATACGAAATTATTGAAATCGTCACAAATTTTATAAATGTACCTACCCTAACCAACCCTAGATATTAATTTCAACATTTAGCTCTTCTTGATGGCAAAAAAGTAAGTTAACTCCTTAAAGATCGTACCGATACTACATGACCCATTGTTGATAATTTTTGCCCCATCGGTGACCTTCCGTAGTTTTAACCAAAACCCTTTTCCCCCTGTTTAAGTTTCAAATAGAAATTCATAAATAAATTAACTTTCCATTATTTGGAGATACATTCAATCCTTCCATTTCGTCCATCCTAGTCCACTCACCAAACTTCATATTTTAACTGCATGTTTATAGGCGTCTCTCATCCGTACCTGCTTTAAGCCAACTTTAAGATCCAAACATAAGAGCAAGTCTGATGATCCTCTTCTAAATCTATCCTTTCATTTTAACAGGATACAAGTTCACACATATTCTTAATGTCTTAGGTAAACAAAAACCGTCGTCGAAGTCACGAGTCAGCGTTACCAGCAACTCCAATGCATAGCAACATGCCATGGATATCAACTGATAATTTAGCTCCGGATACAGCTTTCGGTTCTTCGTTAGCAGATATCATGGAGAGTCCGGCTAATAAGGTGAGTTATTCGTGTATTCTAGGATAGCTATGCTTCTGCACTCATGGGCCGGCTCAACCGGAGTGATATCACGGTTTTGCAGAAAATCCGTGTTAAGAAACCGTTTCTTTCGTTCCTTTTCATTTACCTCCTTCCACAGCTTCACTCTCTCCCACCACCACCTCCCCTTCTTGTCTCTTAAGTTACAAGTGTCCATGGCTTGCGTTCCATTAAGGGGACCGTCTGCTTGTTTACCCCCAAACAACAACAACAGCCTTTAATATTATATTGCTGGCCATAGGAGGTTTTGGCCACGCTGGCCAGACGCGTTGTTATAGGGTATATTTCCCTCCTCTCTGCAGTGCTGTTATCCTGTGTAGTTTACTCCCTTAGTCGACTCTTACGGTACCCACAGGATAAATATGGGGTGGTGACATACCGTATTCTTAATCCGTCACCTAAGCCCTAAAGAAAAATAATGTATAAGAAGTAAAGTACTAAGGGAGCTGTTTCTTTTTTTCATTAGTAGTTTAGTTTTATTTTGTAGGACAACTCCTTAAAATAAACTCTAAAGTACGAGTAGTTATGGGATTAAATTTATTTTTGGCTAAAATTGTAAAACTGAAAGTAAATACTAGTATTCTTAGAAATTCAATGTGTGTAAATTGGACTGAAAATTGATGTTCCTTTAAAGCTGAAAACACTAATTGATAGCAAATTGAAATATAACTAGATTATGTTTTATGTGTATCTTAGTATGTTTGTATGACTTTCCATATTGTACGTTTCTTAAAATCTAGACTATTGTGTCTGTGTATGTATGTGTGTGAGTACGAAGATAGACGTTACTGCAGAGCTTAAAACAGTAAAAAAAATATCACTTACTGCTTTTTGAGTTTTGAGACTACGTAAAAATAATATGTCTTTGGGGTGAGATGGTGATGACGTGCTGATTGTCGATATATACTGAAGAATTAAGCACCTTATTATACTGAAACAATGTTTTCAGAACACGTCATTCTGCGGATACGATGATAAAAAGGTATCAGTGTGTGTATACGTAGACGTTACCTATGTGTTAGTGTACATATTTGGCACTCTACCACTGTGCACTTTTAAAAAAAGTTTTTGCGTTGCACAACCAATCTATAGAAAGAATTGTTCTTCAAACCTTCAGGAAAAGAGCGTACTTCTATTTCAAAGGCTAACTACACACTTTTTTTTGTAACTTGTCTTGTCAAAAAAACCATATTGAAGACTGACTCTGTGGTGCAGTGGTGGCGCACGCGACGGCTGTGCTGTGTTCGGTTTCGTTTCCCGGGTCGGACCAAATGCTTGTATGATCTGCAAATATTTGTTTCGGAGTTTGGATGTTTTACGTATAATAATATGTAGGTATTTACAAAAAAAAAACATGTAGTATTCTATCAATCAATCTAGCTTTCATGGTACAGGCTCTGCTTAGTTTAAAACTAGATGGCGTTGTGTCAGATGTAGGTAAAGATTATTATTATTCACTACTTAACGACGGAATCCATAAAACCTTCAGGTTTATAACATGCTGTTATAGTTCCTGGCATATTTTTTTATGGCATAGGGGACAAACAGGGCTCGCCAAGCGAGCAGACAGGTCACCTGATGGTAGGTGACTACCACCGCCCATCGGCTGCTGCATGCTGCAACTGAGAGTCTAGACAAGTGCGTGCGGGGGGGGGGGGGGTTAAATTATATTTTACCTCTAAATGTCTTTTGTCTTTAGTTTTGATGCATGATAGAAGATCATGCTTCAAAACCAAGTGTTATTCGTTTATATAATGTTATATAATGTCGATTTTGTCCTTCCAAAGATTACTTGGAAAAAGTCGTTGAACATATGTATGTATATCCACTTTGTGTTTTTTTTTTAAGGAATATGTCGTGTGTCTCCATAACTGTGTGTCTCTGTATCTGTGTGCGTGTGTATCTGAGTGTATATAGTGTATTTGTATAGTGTGTATTTGTAAATCTGTTGGTAAGTTGTTATCATAGCTCTTAAGGGATGGACAAATTTTGTTTTATTTGTTAATGTGTCCTTCGAAGATTATCAACTCTTTGCTATCCGTGGGAGAGTCATGTTCTGACACATATGAGCCAGGTCCATCGAAATCATACCACAATCTCACGGGAAATCGTCGCTTTTCACCGATTGAGTGAAGTAACCGGAGCCCTAAACCCTCCCTCCCTTCAATTCTGAGGGGAGGAGGAAGTAAAGGGAAGCAAATTGTATCTCTTGAGTTGAAGGTATCTTTAGGCGGTGCTAGGAAATTTCTTACAAATAAGGATTCGTAAGAATAAGAAATGGAACAAGAGCCCAATATAATTGATACATGGTTGACCTGAGGAAACACAATAATAATAAAATAATATAGGCATCTGCTAAGTTATTTTAATCATTTGTTAAATTCGTATGCTATTTTTAGGGCTAAATGGGTCTGTTCGATCCATATTATTATGCATTGAATTTGAATGTAATCTTTTACCATCCGATAATGGTGTGCTGCGTTGCCCCCTACTTTTTAATATAATATAATATTTTCCGTGTTGAGACGGATTAAGAATACGGAGTGTCACCACCCCTATTCATCCCGTGGGTGTCGTAAGAGCCGACTAAGGGAGCAAACTACGCAGGACAACAGTACTGCAAAGAGAAGGAAAATATGAAAGAAACCCTATACCAACCCGTCTGGCAATGAGGAGTGGACTACTACAGGCTGTTGATGTGATAATATTTTTACACATTTCACACACGGCCGTTTGATCCCAAACCAAGCAGATTTAATTAGAAAAAAAAACTTATATCTAAAACATTTTTGTACTAAGACATTGTTTGCTAACACATACAGGTCGCAGTATAATTATACTGATAATAATCAGTATTCAAAAATCAACATTACGAGTTAGCAAACAACACACACGGTAGCAAGAACCAATAAAATAAGTTTAATGATGTATGAATGAAGGCTAAATTGTACTATATGTAGATTACAATACTTAATTGTGTTAGGAATCCTTAAAATTACTGACTGAAAATCCAGAGGAATGAAATAAATCGCGTGAGGCAGAAAAATTGGAACAATCTAAAGGTGCTTTTACACTAGGTAGTTTTAAACACTATAATTATAACTTCACACATCTTGCATATCACATTACCTTAACAGCATTTAATAGTCCACTGCTGGATATAGGCCTCTCCATAGAAAGGTTTTGGCCTACTATACCACGCTGGCCAGACGGGTCGGTATAGGGTTTGTGTCAAGTTTTCCTTTAGTATAAACAGTTCTGATAGTGTAAAAGGGTCATTTTTATTTCAATTTCCAAGTAAAGTATTCATATTAAAAGTCTTTTACCACCAATGATTGATAGTTGGATGAAAAAAGTATAAAAACTTAAGACGATCCCCATTAACATACTTAACAAAACATACGAAGGAGGGAGGTCTCGCACATTCATTTTGTAATTGATCATAAATCTCTACTATAACTCAAAAACTAGCTGGCTCCGGCTCCTAATGACCAGTAGCGAGAAGCCTGATTTTATGCTAACTATACAGGAGTAGAAACTAGATCTCAGCTCAGCCCAACTGGCATCGGTAGAGCACAAAGTATTGAACTAAACTAGACTGATTGAAAGATCAAATTACTACTTTACTACATTGATCTTAGTCACACCACGATTAATTTTTCGTCTACTATCTTGTGACACCAGTCACCGACTTCGTGTGTCATCGCAAATCATAATTTTACCCGCAGCTAAATCCCATCTGTCGCATATCCCCATCTGTTACATATAATACAAATAAAACAATCCCTATTGAGCAAGCTCCTTTACACGGCCTTAATTATGTACATATTTTACAGTAAAGACCTACTTTTGAAACTAACTTACGAGCTCCGAACGAATAGACGTTTAAAACTAACTCGAAAGTTGTGATGAAATTTGCTTCAAAGACAGTGGCTGTTTAAATAATGGTATCAGCAGTTCGTGCGGTCAGGAACGGCCCCTTTTGGGTGGTATGTGTCGTTTCTTTTTTAAATTATGTTACATTCTTGCCTTGTATTGGTCTTTACAGCCACCAAACGATAACTTTCCGATACTATCTAGTACATAAATCATCTGCGCCGCCTCTTGGAAGTTCGCCCCCCGGGCTGTCACCAGGGTATCGTCCGCGTAACAGATTACACCCAGCCCGGGGGAGAAATCGGCTCGAAGGGCCCAGTCGTACCCTATGTTCCACAAGAGGGGTCCAAGAACAGACCCCTGTGGAACACCGCACGACATGTCACGACACGGGTCACGACCCTCAGGCGCAAAACAGCGTCGACTGTCGAACGCCCCGCCCGAAAAACAAATTGGGCGTCCGTTAGGGGCCCAAACTTGAAACAAACCCTATACCAACCCGTCTGGCCAGCGTGGCATAGTAGGCCATAACCTCCTTTCTAAACAGTGGCCTGTGTATATTTAAAGCTGTTGGTGTAATGATAAGGATGTGATACATAGCAAAAAAATCAAACTGAAACCGTCGTTTGGTAAGACCAGTATCGGAGTTCGACTGGCTCAACCTGAGTGATGCCGGTGTTAAGTAATTCTTTCGCTGCTTCTCATCGAGCGACTGAAGTTGTAGGTGTGTGTCACTTACCCCTTGTACTTAAAAACCGGTAGGCGTATCGGTTTCTGCTCGTTTCTACAATTATCAATTATATTCATTAATATGCGTTGCGGCCTTATGTTAGATAGTTTGTGCGATAGTCAAATGTAAGAATAACTTGTTGTTTTATGATAGGTATACAAATATAAAACGTCTGCAACGTTCTGCAGTTTCCAGGCACGGTATAAACATTACTTCTTCATACAAATTAAACTGTACTTTACTGTCATCGAACAAAGGCACATTGAACTATAGAGCAACTACTAATTCTGCATCGCGCAATCAAAGTTCGCTAGTGGATTTGCATAAAAATAACTTACCAACACCATCATTTCAGTCGCGGTCCACCAGACATGGTCACTTCGCCTTGGAGAATCTGTTTAATTTCCAAGGAGGAGCGTTTTAGAGAAATAACACCCGCTCATCCGCAATCCGCACCCCGGGGATTAAATAACAAATATATAGTATATTTTTAATTGTCCTTTCGAATTAGTTATGATAACATTTCGAAATCAAAATGTTGGATGAGCTATGAAAGTACATTGCCCTGCGTTAGATAATATTGATGACATTAAACTCAGAAAGAAATTTTGACCAGATACCAATTCAGAATAATGAACGCTTTGAAAGTCTGAGGCATATGACCCGATTATTTTAGAAATGGAATGGAACACGTTGTATAAACTAAAATTTTCGAAAACGTCTTCTGAGTTTAAATTATGTTAGCTTATGTAAGTGCGCGCTGACGCCACACGTCCCCTCGGTGTGGACCAACTTGATAAAATTTCCATCGTTAACGCGCGTTATACGGCTCATTAATTTAACTGTCGTAAAGATCACTATAGTCTGCTACGCAGAAGCAGCTTAAAAAGAAGTTATTGTAGCTATCAGTATTGTGTCCTATAATGTCTTCTTGTGACGAGCTTTAAATATATTGTAAACCAGTTAAAATAAAGCAAATAAACTTGGAATTAAAAAAGGGTTTCTGATTTCAATGCACCTACATCATAAATATTAATAAAAAAATTGAGCGGATCAAAAAAATCTAAATTATCTTGTAGAAGGTCACTTTCATATGGTGACGCATCACCGCACTGCCTTACATGTTAAATATAGCGTCATGTCACGTAGCGTAGCGACACATGCTGTGGCGACGCGTCGCCACGACTACATCTAAACTCTATTCTTCATTCCTTAATCTTTTATCCTTGTCCGACCAAATAGAAAGTATAAAAAGTTATCTGCCAAATCGAATTATGTAATGAGACAGTTCTAAGGTAACAAATGTAAAAGAAATAAACTGTATTAAAAAACTATTCCTTTTTTATAAGTCTGTCAAAAATAATAAATTCATTAAATAAACGAGTAGACGCCAATAAACGGTAGTATTTTCTTCTCTACCTTCTTTTAACCTATTAATCCAAATCATATATTTCAGGTCCATCTTCGCGACGACATCAAATCCATCCGTTCGGACGACTCGTCAGATGAACGCAAGCCTCGTGGTTGGCGACTGATCAAGAATGTGACAACAGCAACTGGAGCCTTCACTTCTAAGGGGCAAGGTCATACGTCTTTGCCTGGAACGCCTCTGCCTAGTTTTCAGGTAGTATTATTTAAAATTACAATTAAACTCTGGTTCAATAGTGGGTTAGTTTCTTTGCAAAAACATGCCTACTGCGAATTAGGAGTTACCTTATCGTGTCGTTCGCAACACTTTATAAGGTTTTGGCTCAGTGCTTGGCGACGCGAATAGTATTCGGCCTTACATTCCACTGCGAGAACACTGGGCCAAGAACAAAGTTCTAGTTTAAATAATTTTTTGTTGAGGTCAATAATTGTCTAGTAATTCTTTACAACCAAAGATCCTAGGAATTGGATAACACCAGTATCTATCCCAACATTTCAGGTTTTTAATTTCTTCTCTAACGTACTCCAGAAAAGTATTCAGATAACTATGTTATTTTCCAGTCAAAACCTGACAGCAAGAGTTCAAACTACGCCAAAGAAAACAGAAAGCCTTCATTTCCTTCATATCCTAATGAAAAAGACGAAAATTTAGGAGAAACTAGTCCAGAGGTAAGTTATAGTTGTTGTGTAGTGTTGCTGTGTTGAAACCAGATAAATACAAGAAATCAAATACTATAAAAATCGGCCCAGCCGTTCTTGAGTTATAAATTGTATAACTAACACGTCTTTCTTTATTTCTGAAGATTTATTCTAAGACTTTTCCAAAGATTTGGATCAAATTTTGTATTTACATAATATTTTGCTTTTCTGATTAATACCTGAAGAAAAGTGATTTTTTAAATAAATATTTTTGGTTATAATGACACTGTAGACGCTAAAAGTTTATGTGCTAATTTTTTATCCCTGAACAGGGTTTGGAGCCAGAATCTTTGATGTTCCGTGACGGTAGAAGACGAATTGACATGGTGTTAGCTTATGAAGAAGAAGATTATGGAGTCATGACTGAGGTGGAAGCTAGGAAGCGGGAGCACAGGAAAACATTCCAAGTAAGGAAGCATTATATTGTTAAATAAATTAAATTCCTCATCATCAGACTTTCGCCGTCCATTGCTCAAAGAAGGCCTCTCCCAAGCAGCGCCAACTTTCCCGGTCTTAACCATCCGAATCCATTCGAATACCGACTGACTACATGTTATTGTAATTTCTTTCTCTAAGTGTGTTACACTCACGCTAAGGCCTAAAAAAATATTAACCGACTTCAAAAAAAGGAAGAATCATTAATTTGTAAACCGATTTGGAAAGTATTATTTTTGAGAGTATACTTCCTGTTTGGTCTCATTTAAAATTTTAAGAAAAAATGCGACCCCTAATGTAAATTACGGAATAAATTTTACAGTTTATTACATTTCATCATGATATTATAGCAGAATATTATAGACGCGGTGATAACTTTTAAAAGTTAGTTAATGTTTTGCTTTATTTATTTCAACCATTGTAGATTTTACAAGAATGTTTTTTATTAAAAAGAAAAATATAGCCGCACCATTTGATTGAACCACCTTAAGATAAAATCTAAGTATTTCCTTAGCATGTTCAGAAAATTTAATTTTATGCAATGCCCTCGTAATGTTAAATGATTACCATTTTTAGGGAGTTTTCCCCGTTCCTTCTAATAAATTCTATTTAACTTAGAAAGAATAACATTAAAAAATGGTTGCTCTTATTCGAACCTGAACCTTATTATATTAAAAGAGGGTTTAAATTCCAGTTTATATTACTTGCAGGAAAATTTAGTAAGAGAAGGTTTAGAACTAGAGTTAGAAAATAAGTGCTTGTCCTTTGACGAGAAAACTTGGTTCCTCAAAATCCACATCCCTTGGAAGACTGAAATGAGGCTTGCTGAAGTGATCGGGATGAAATTACCTACGAAGAGGTTCATCACGATATCTGTTCGGGCTTGGGTAAGTTTGTTATAGGAGTAAAATTTTTAGGATGTTTTTCTTGCTGCACTACGACAAAAATAAAAGGGATGACATTTACTAATTTTGTTGTTTAAAAGGACTTTTGGCTTATCTAGGAATAAGTGTTATTGGACTTGAACACAAAGGGAGGATCCCCGATGGCAATTATGTCGTTGTTTTTCACCCTTAATTCATGGGATACACAAAAGGCACTAACACACTTGTCTCACTTGTCTCTTGCTTTTTTGCCCCAGTACCATACAAGGTGAACCCTATATCTGAAAGTTTGTAAGATTACTAGTTTTTAGAACACATTAACACATGCTAACTGCACGGCTGGCGTAGTGATTTAAGCGGTCACCTCACCACCTCCTACTGCGATGAATGTTGTGGGTTCGATACTCACATGGGACAGCACTTTGTGTAATCCACAAGTGCTGGGTCTGAATATGTGTTCCTTTTGTCCGTTTCATGTATATTTGTAAAGTCCCCTGCGACACAGGATATATTCTAAAAAAAGAACACAAATAGAAGCTTTGAACTTTCCACATTGTATCCTGTTTGATTTTACAGAGTGATGAAAAACAGGCAGAAAAAGACAAACGGTGGCACTCAAAATGGCGCCGGCGATGGAAACAGATATATGAATACGAACACTCCAGAATAGAACCTGAACCTTCGTTTTACGGTGCTACTGATCAACGAGGAGCCCGTAGAGAGGAAATGTGAGAATTATACGACTTCTAGAATATAAGAGTTTACTTACTTTATTACGTTGATGAAGTGTCAATACCTCTTAACTGACATTTCTTTAGGAAGTGAACTATTAACAGTAAAGATATGAGTTAAAAATAAAACAAGCCCCATTTGCAGGTTTCTAGTAAAAGACAGACACACACAATTTTCACCGGCACAAAGAAGTTTTTTAGTTATGCAGATATTAGTACGAGCCAAATACGATATCAATGAAACTAAGGTAAGAAAAATTAATTGAGGAACATTTTAGATATTGAGTTAGATGGTCATAATTAATTTGCTTTACCAGAAAAATGTTTTATCAACATAATCATCATCAACAGCCTTTAATAGTCCACTGCTAAACATAGGCCTCTCCTTAGAAATGAGTTTTTTGGCGGTTTGATATAGGGTTTGTGTCAAATTTACCTTCTCTCTGCAGTACTGTTGTCCTGCGTAGTTGGCTCCGTTAGTCGGCTCTTACGACACCAACGGGATGAATAGGAGTAGTGGCACTCTGTATTCTTAATCAGTCACCACGCGGGCAACCAACATAAAACCATCCACTACCACTATCCATCACCACATAAAATCTTTTTTACGTGTCAAAGTCCTTGAAGTTTATACCACATCAGGGCTATCTACCAATAGCCCTGATGTGGTATAAACTTCATGGACTTTGAAAATCTCCCTGAATAAGCACAGATAAATATCAGAGTGAACGAGCGTGTCTAAGCTCCTGCTAGACGGCAATATCTGACCAAATGTCTGAATTGGCGATGATGATGATAAGGACATGTGGCGATGATGATGGACTGTATTGCTGGTGAGTTATTCTGGCAAATAACCCACCTGCTGCCTGGCTGCTACGTACACGAAATTCAAGAATAAAGTTATAGGAATTACTGTGAGGTCGGGCCGTCCACGGTTATGTCTCAAAATGAGAGTGAAAACCGTTGGATATGAGGCTGTGCCGGTCAGGGTAGGCTCCCCGCACGCCGCACTGGACGCTGGCGCCTTCTTTTGTGCGTTTGTTTGTGTCGTAACACTGTCCAAAATTAAATTCTGAGCTATAAAAATTAGCTGTATTTATAATATTTATAGAAAAATCTCGTTCTATTATTGTATTGAAAATGCTTTCTTTAGCATAACGCACGTGTTTCTTTGAGTTAAATGCACTTGCCTTTTCAGTTGGGAATCCGTCGCTTACTCAATGATGGCACATACCTAGCATGTTTTCCTTTACACGAAGGCAGACATGACATTGGCATGTCTGATGGAAGTATTACGGACAGAAGGGTAAGGATTTCGTGTATTACTACAGTAAGAGTAATTATTTAATTAAAATTTTAACAGTTACTGACAATATCATTTGTATTATCCAGCTCTTATATTTAGAATGGGCTCGTCCTGCCAAATGGTATAAAAAGCAGCCACTCTGGCTCGTCCGACGGTATTTTGGTGACAAGATAGGTCTCTACTTCTGCTGGCTCGGATTCTATACTAAGATGCTCTACGCTCCAGCTATAGTAGGAACTCTATGTTTCTTATATGGACTTGCTAGTATGGAATCAAATGATAACATTCCAAGGTGAGCTAGTCAAATGTTAGTAATTATTTAAGCTTAGTAGTACCACATCGTCAATATAAATTACACTTTGTGGGCAATATTAAGGTAATTAATCAATAATTCAATGTGTTATTTAAAAATCTCTTCAAGGCAATTTAAAAAGTTTGCTTTTAGAAACTGAAACCTAGAGAAAATAATTATTACATACTTTACTTGATACTCGTAATAAGAAAACTTTTATTTGACGATATAATTTTAAGGAATCAATTACATACCTTTAAACTGCTTTACATTGCAACTGGGTTGCACTACATTCAGCCTGTGACTCTACTATATTTTAAGCCAATGAGTTAAATTGGTGAATTCTGATTGAATATGGAAGCAGAGTACAGTTATTTGCATTTTTTGTTTTCAGCAAAGAGATTTGCGACCTCAAAGGACCAGGTAACATTACGCTGTGTCCTCTCTGTGACAAAGCATGTCAGTACCAGTCTCTAGGCGACTCCTGCTTGTTCGCTAAACTAACGTACTTATTTGATAACCCAGCCACTGTCTTCTTTGCAATCTTTATGTCATTTTGGGGTAAGTACACATTCTATTATTGTTAAAAATTTTAGCACTTTCGTAATTTTGTTCTTATTTTGTGGTTTTTTAATTGAGGGCTTTATTTCACTCGTTTACTCAGAATCTTAACTTTCACAGCATCTGACAGTATTGTGATTTTTTTACTTTTTAAATACATCCAAAGTTTTCAATTTGGCCTTGATCACTAACAATTCACTTATGAGACCTAAGGGTTCTTCCAAATTCCTAAAATTAAGTAACCCACCAGTAGCGTGGATTATTGAATTAAATACTCAAGAAGTGGTGACCAAAAATTCAGAAATTTCTAAATATATTATCTTAACCAGAGATTCTAAATAATTCTAAAATGAAAAGCTGAATAGTTCGTTTTGAGTATTCAAGTACTTACTTACTACTTTCTGATAAATGAAAGAAGCAAAACTTATTCCAGTTTATCATTATCATACATTTATGATAAATGATAATTCCTATGTCATTACCTTTTCAGCTACAACATTCCTAGAACTTTGGAAGCGAAAACAATCAATATTAAAATGGGAATGGGATTTAGCAGGAGTTGACCAGGTAAGTTTCGTTAAGTTTCATAATTAAGGTTTGTTTTTTTTTATGGTATAAGGGGGCAAACGAGCAGACGGGTCACCTGATGGTAAGAAACTACCACCTAGCAACTCAAAAATCACAAGTGCGTTGCTGCCCTTGGAGTCCCTCCCGCTCGAGTCAACGGGGATTTGGGCTCCGGTAACCTCACTCACTCAGTGAAAGGCAACGAAATCTTTATCTTTTATTAACATTAGTTATTATGAACTATGTCAAATTTCATACTTTTTATTTGCACCTGCCGCATCCGTGTTGATTTTATAAATGGTTCGTGTCTTTGACGGATTAAGAAAACGGAGTGTGACGAAAATAGCACTGCAAATAAAAAGAAAACTTGAAACAAACGTTACCAACCTACCTGGCCAGCGTGGTATAGTAGGCCAAAACCTCCTTTCTGAGGAGAGGCCTATGTCCAGCAGTGGACTATTAAAGGCTGTTGATAATAATTGATGATGATTGCTTTTATCCATCAGGACGAAGATCCCAGGCCAGAATTCGAGACCTCAGTGAAAACATTCCGTACAAACCCAGTAACTAGAGAGAAGGAACCTTACCTTCCTACATGGCAGAAGACTGTAAAATATGTTGCTAGCAGTTCTGCTGTCTTATTTATGGTAAGTTTCCTTTTTTTAAAGACTACTCCCGCGCTAGGAATATATCCTGTGTCGCGGATGACTTTACAAACATAGATGAAACGGACACAAAGAACACCCAGACCCAGAACAACAATTTGTCTTTGTCTCATGTGGGGATCAGACCCGCAACACTCAGCGCAGTAGGAAGGGGCGAAGTGACCGCTTAAACCACTACGCCATCCGTGTGTTTTGCTGTATGTAGAGCATAGTATGTTTTAATATAGAGTTGATATGGTTTTTGTAGTGTCGGCAACAAGAATAATATTCCGGATTATGTTTTTAAAATTTGGCGATTTGTAGGTTAAAATTGACATGGAAAGGAACTTTTTGCCTTAGAGAGCTTTCAAATTACAGGACGAAGTGACCCTTGTCTTTTCAAGCTTCAGCTGAAGAATACTACAGGCCTCGGATAGGGGAATACCCTTATTCGAGGTCTGTAGTATCATTTAGCAACCTTGACCGTTACTGCCTTACTTCGCTAATTTACCATCTACCTTTATCAAGGAAGATTTGCATTAGGCTGATAGCTGGTCACAAAAATAAAATTCCAATGTTAGTAATGTTACACATTTCGCCAACCCCATAAAAAATTGTATCTACCGATAATGATCAAAAATTTATTTTTCTGTCACAAATGATTAATTAATCCACATCTAATTGATAAATCCTGAGTTAATTATTCATAAGGTTATTCTGATTGTCCTTACGGTCTATATAAAAACATATAAATTCTAATCTACGTGTTGAAGTTGATTCTATCATTATTTCTAATGAAACATCTACATCTATTTTTGTTTCTAGATTGCAATTGTAATGGGTGCCGTGCTTGGCACTATAATCTACCGAATATCTATGGTGTCGGTCATTTACGGTGGCTCCGGCTTTTTCATCAGACGCCACACAAAAATCTTCACCACCATGACTGCTGCCGTCATTAACTTGATCATCATCATGATTCTCACTAGGGTAAGTGTGTACTTATACTTAGACTTTAACAAACATTTTACTAACATGCATACATACACTGACGTATTTTCCCCAAAGGGGTAAACAGAGGAGAATTTAACGCCTGCATTTTGCTAACTAGAACTTGCGTCTCACGGAAAGCCTTTTACTCATCAACAGCATTTAATGGTCCATGCTGGACATAAACCTCTCTTTAAAAAGGAGGTTTTGGCCTACTACACCTCGCCAGGCCAGACAGGTTGCAATTGGGTTTGTTTCAAGTTTTCCTTCTCTTGAGCTGTCAACTGGGCATATAAATTTCTAAATTTACATGTATTTCTACATATATAACAATGTTAACTTGGTTTGTGTACGCCTCAAAAACTCAAAAAGGTTTTGCACCGATTAAGCTCAAATTTTGACACGATATACAAACCGCTTCAAATAATAATTTTTATTTATATACCGTATCTATTTTATATTTTACACAGTGTACAGTTGGTAATATACAAAAATGTCACCGAGAGACAACATATGATCGTGATCATCACACAATAACTTTCCTGGTTGGAAACACAAAACCTTTAGCTTATCAGTAAGAATTCTTAACCATTGAACCAACAGACATTGTTCGTTCCTTTTACCGCTATGAAAAATGTATACGCACGAACGCTATATAAAACTATAAGTCCGCCGTTGTACATAAAGTCCTAAAATAAATAAAATTTTCAACCTATTCTATATTCCAGATTTACGCCAAAATCGCTGTCGCGCTCACCAATATGGAGAACCCTCGCACACAAACCGAGTACGAAGACTCTTATACATTTAAGATATTCTTCTTCGAGTTCATGAACTTCTACTCCTCGCTTATCTACATAGCATTTTTCAAAGTAAGTCTTTCTGAACAACCCAACTCCCCTGGTGTCACAACTCAAATCCAACTTACACAACGTTTAACTAGTGACATTGGATGAACAATATTTTGCTCAGAATGTGTAACAATATTTGTTATTCGTTAAAATATATACGAAGCATGCTATGTAGGTCCCAATGCTGGTGTGGAATGCCTTGCAGTGACAGTTGAAGTTATACTGGTGGTTGACAAAACATTCGAAATATAATCGAATCAAATATAAAATATAAACTACCAGAGTTCTCTGTTTGTTAGCCTTATACAAGGAGAAATACTTCTTTTTATATTCTTCTAGGGTCGTTTCTATGACTACCCAGGAGATGATCAAGCTAGAAAGTCCGAATTCTTCAAGTTAAAAGGAGACATTTGTGATCCAGCAGGATGTTTATCAGAATTGTGCATCCAACTGGCTATAATCATGATAGGAAAACAGATATTCAACAACATCGTTGAGCTGGGTTACCCGTACGTACGTGTGTGTTTGTGTATGTACTATGTATTTATGTGTTTTTTTTTATTTTTATGTGTACCATCTTTCCTCTTGCTTTACTGCGATATGTGTGAAGTACTCGTAGTTAACAGCGATCGTGAGATCTTGAAGTCAATGCCCAGTTCAATCAAATTATAATACAGTTACAAGTATATTACAGTTTTCGACGGAATTTATCAAAATTTATAAGCTACTGGCTGTACCCTGTCACGCTTCACGCTGTGGCACTTTGTTGTTGTAGAACATATATAGAAACCATCTTCAAAGCGTGTTCTATATCGTGTCAAAATTTGAGCCCAATCCGAGAACTTTTCTTGTTTTTGAAGAGTACACAAACCAACCTGACATTTATATAAATAGATAGGTACAAAGTATTCTTTATTAGGTGGCAATAAAAATGAAGTTGACTATGGCAGGCTCCAGCAGTCGCTTTAAGGAACATACCAGCAGAAGTATATAAAAATAGCCAAGAAAAGCATTTAAAGTAGGAATACAGCATGCAATTATTAAAGTTAGTCAACGAGCAAAAAAAATTTCTACTTAAACGATTGTTATTCCCAAATTGTTCGTTTCAGAAAATTCCATAACTGGTGGCGGCAACGGTCACACCGGGCCGTCACCAGGGACCTAAGCAAGCCACACATGGCCTGGGAACAAGACTACCATCTCCAGGATCCTGGAAGACTGGCTTTGTTTGATGAATACCTGGAGATGAGTAAGTATTTTAACTATAGAAAGAGAACCGGTAGGATTTAGGCTTCGTTGCAAAATGTTTTTTATGGCAAAGGTATCAAAGGAGCAGGCGGGTCATCTGATGGTAAGTGATTACCGTCGTCCTCACAAGTTCGTTGCAGGGGAGGATCCTTTTGAGGTGGGAGTACGATCTTTGATTCAGAAATAGAGGCTGACTGTTCAGATTGTGTTAGCTTGATCGTCAAAGAACTCGATATCACTGGACTAAATTTGACAGACCCATGAGTGAGTATGGTCAGCGGAGATCCAAATCCTCCTCTTTTCTAATTCTAGAGGAAGGAGACAAAGGCTGACCATGTGTCCAATGACGACGGTAGTCTCTTACCATCTGGTGTTGTTTGCAACTTTGCTGAATAAAATCAATTAATATTATTTAACGGGAATTAACGCGATCTCTTATTAGGGTATTACATACCTCTGGTTTGCCTGACGTTTCGACCAGGTTGCACCGGCCGTGGTCACAGGCTGACTCTGTGACCACGGCCGGTGCGTTAATTCCCGTTAAATAATATTAATTATCATGGAACGCGAAAGTTTAAAAGTTAGTAAAATCAATCAATTCAGATTCCAGAGATTTGACCAAAGCTAACAAACACTACAAGTTAAATGAAAGCTTTATTCTAAGTTCTCCTTTCCCACAGTTCTCCAATACGGCTTCGTGACTTTATTCGTGGCAGCATTCCCCCTGGCGCCATTGTTTGCTCTGCTAAACAACATAGCTGAAATACGTCTGGACGCGTACAAAATGGTGACGCAAGCAAGGAGACCTTTGGCTGAAAGGGTCGAGGACATTGGAGCTTGGTAAGGCGATCAATGAAAATTATACCTATATATTTGTGTGTGTATCTATTGTGTATATTCGTGTGTGTTAATGTATCTGTGTTCACATTCTTTTGCAAAAAGTGCAAATTTTAATATGAAAAGTATTTCTGAATAGGACGTTTATATTGGCTTTTTCTATTCTGTGCTGCAGCCCCTCTTTTCTTTCCACTGTTTGTGTCGAAAAGATCGCAAATTGCAATTCAGTCCAATAACAAGTCAATTATTGAAAAAAAAACGACTGAGTGAAAATTGATTACATTATAATATTACATTCATGCAACCTGTGGAGTAACCGGTCTCATGTCCCTCCAACACAAAAACAGGATCCTCCCACCAAGTGAGGTGATCATACCTGGTGGGCCGTCAGCCATTGGTTGATGTTGGGAACTCGTGTAAATGCAGTTGTAAATATACAAGGGAGCTAACTACGCAGGACAACAGCACTGCAAAGAGAAGGAAAGCTTGACACAAATCCTAAACCCACCGGTCTGGTATAGTAGGCCAAAACATCCTTTCTAAGGAGAGGCCTATGTCCAGCAGTGGACTATTAGAGGCTGTTGATGATTGATGTGATGAAATATACAGGATAAGCAGTTACTCCGTAGTTCGGTGTGTCTTGGTTAGATGGCGCTGTAGTATGTTTCTGTGTACCACTGTATGTGGAAGTCGCCACATACCCTTTATTCTGATACTCCACCCCACACACACACAGGAGGTGATCATCTAAACGCCGTAGATAGTCCAGATACGTGGGGTACCAGGGATTTCCTTTCTAGGGTACACCTGGTTCCCTGATTAACAGCGTGCGGTTTTTGGTTGATTCGAGTCCTAGGTCATGAACCTCCTAGGAAAAGGGGTCATGAACCTCCTAGGAAAAGGGGTCATGAACCTTCATCACAAAGGGAGAGAGTGGAATATTAAGTTGGGAAGTACTCACATCACTTGCAGGTCTAAGTCTTAGTTTTATATTATATTCATTTGTATTTCAGGTACGGCATTCTCAAGGGAATCACTTACGCAGCTGTCGTATCAAATGTAAGTAAAATAATTAAATTACAACAAAATTAATAAGAAAATAAGGTTAATTTAACATAAAATACAGTTCAAAGATGTATATTAATAAAAACTAACGCCTTTAGTGAGCGATGAATATTGAACTTTATTCACAGAAACCAATTTTGTGGTTTTTCCAGGCGTTCGTGATAGCTTATACAAGCGACTTTATACCCCGGATGGTGTACAAATACGTGTATTCTCCGGACCACACATTGGCGGGGTACATTGATCACTCCTTATCTCGTAAGTATAATTATTAATAATAATAATAACTTCACACATCGCACACACGGCAGTTAGATTCTAAATAAGGCAGAGCCTGTACTATGGCAACCAGACTGCTGAATAAACATACTTATATATTTCTAAATAGGTAGATAGTATAGGTGTACCCAGACAGAGAACACATGATCGTACCCATCACGCAATTATTTGTCCTGCGTGGGAATCGACCCCACGACCTATGGCTCAGAAGCCAGAATCGCTAACCACTAGAACAAAAAAAAAAAACAAAAAAAAAAAAACGAGTGTGATTAGACCACACGACTGAAGTTAAACTTCTTGGCTATGTGAGAAAGAGAGAAAGAAAATGTGTGCTCGCACCTCTCTCTCTTGCTCCTACAGTAAAAATTATAGTTTTAAAAAACTAAAAAGTTTGAAAATAAATTTATAAATGAAACTAGAAAATAAATTTGAAAAAAAGCGTTGGGTGCCTGTTGTCAATAGTAAAAAGCACTTTTTTTATTTTTTTTTAGTTTGGTTTTCTACTCGTATAGAAAGTTATTTTTTTTTATTTTTTTTCGACCGAATTCTGACCGTTTAAAGCCAGTCAAATTCACGCCCAAAGGAGTCGGTTACAAACATACAAACAAACATACAAGTGAAGCTTATATAAAGCGTGTAATATACGAAAGGTAACTCTCTTTCTTGCTATCATCGCCAACTTATATCTCCCTCTCAACTTCCGTTCGCCTCGCCCGATCACACTTTTCGTAACGGTCTCGTGACGCTTTCTCCAGCTTACTCCTTAAGAAGTTTTACTACAAAAATAAGTTAAAATATTGTGCGTTATTCTGTTGGCACACACACTAGGCAAGCTTGTCCTGTGGGTGCTAGATTCGATTCAATTATGAGAGAATTATTGTATGCTCGGGCACGCGGGTTTTGTTTCTAAAGGACAAATGTAAATTCGTCACCCTAACTTCCTACAAAATCAGTATCCAATCGATCTATCCGTAATCTTGACATATGAGGGTAGTTGAAATGCTCGAGGTTGAGAGGACATGGCGTGCGTAAGGTACTTAAACCCTAGGACCTGAAATCACATATTCCGGGACCTCCCCAGAATAGGCAGCGGCCTTAAAGGCTCCTGCACCCCCAAGGAGTCGGAGATACGAACGGATTTTCCTCCTCGTCACCAAAACAAAAAGTATTAAACCCGGGTGACGTCTGACCAAGGCTGGTTAACTGATGGCAATTTTTTTTACAGTATTTAACACATCAGACTACCGTGAAGACTGGGGGGCGGACGAGAACGAAGAAGACCCACCAGTGTGCGCGTACCGAGGGTACAGGAATCCCCCCGACCATGCGGACCCTTATGGACTCTCACCGCACTACTGGCATGTGTTCGCTGCGAGATTGGCCTTCGTTGTGGTGTTCGAGGTAAAATTGTAGATGGCAATGGCAGTGGATGGATTCTTATATTTATTTAGATGATAGAAACTATGATAATTTTATAAAATAGATATTGATGGCATAATCCAATTTTATACATGTGGTAACGGATTAAGAATACGGAGTGTCATCACCCCTATTCATCCCGTGGGTGTCGTAATGGCACTAAGCGAGCAAACTATGCAGGACAAAAACAATGCAAAGAGAAGGAAAACTTTAAACAAACCCTCTACCGACTCGCCTGGTCAGCGTGGTATAGTAGGCCAAAACCTCCTTTCCAAGGCGAGGCTTATGTTCAACAGTAGACTATTAAGGGTTGTTAATGAGAATGCCATTGATCAGATTTTTCGAAAATGTCTGCAAACACATGAAAATTCAGAATATGTAGTTTAGAAATCTATACACAAGGAAAATAATTTTGTAAAGAAATGTTTTTTCCATACTTATATCCTATATAGCTGGGTTAACAAGCAGACGGGTCCCCTCATGGTAAGTGCCTACCGCCGCCGAAATCTACAACTCAAGAGTCACACAAACTTATCAAAAGTTTATTTCTACAGCATGTGGTGTTCGGTCTCACTGGTCTCATGCAGCTCTTCATCCCGGACGTGCCGAGTGAGCTCCGAACCCAGATACAGCGAGAAGCACTCCTAGCTAAAGAAGCCAAATACGAACACGGCAGGCGGAGGCTCAGCACGGAGTACAGGCAGCTCATCACACAGAAAAGTGAGAGCGCCACAGGTACAGTCGACCCTATAAATATATTATAGTTGCTAAATATTTTGTTGTGATACCAGTCGTAAACTGATTACGTACCAGTAAACCGATTTTAAAATAAATTTCATTTTTATTATAGTAACATTGCTTGGGAACAGTAAATTTTGATTAAATTGGATATTTAAGTAATTGTACTATGCTGTGACGTCATTCCTAGCTATTGTCAAACCATTTGCTTTAAAGTTAGGTTGAAGATCAAAAAGTACTTAAAAATGTTATATTAAATTATTGAGGTGAAATAATTAATTTTAAATCGTAGTAATCTACCCTATTATTTTTGAAGGAATGAGTTGCAATGAATCTTCAAATATAAATGAGACGAACCTCGCATACAACCGATTCGAGTAAAAAATAATATTTTTTGACATCGGTTCACACCACAAATGACGAAGAAGAAAAAATTGTATCAAAAAAGAATATCCTTTTCTTGTAATGCTGTTCATCATCATCAGTACCAAATATAAAAAAAAAACAGTTATGACCTTCAAAAACAATTTTAATACGGTCAGTTTTTAGTTTAATCGGCTATGAGATGTTTTCTTAATGCAGATTTAATAGATTTTGTTAAAAGTATAGTAAATAACAGCTCTTCATAATTTACGTAGCATATAATATATATTTGTATGCGTTCTAGCTGCGAGTGCAGCGAACCCGGGCCCCGAGCGCGGGGGAGCGTGGGCGCGGCGCCCTTCGCGCGTCTCGGACGGACTCGACGCGCACGTCGCCGTAGCTCAACGGCCCTCTTCTCCCTATAAGCGAGCTGCTTATCACTGACGTTGAGTCCGCACCACGCCTATGTAGACCTCGGACTTTAAGTCCACCGTTAATTAGAGTCTCACACGCCGCGGACTCGAGTCCGCCATATATAATAAAACTTACAAAATCAAACTTACAAGACTTTTAACGAAGATAGAACATGAATCAGTGTTTGAACTAAAAACAAAAATAGTAATGCATGACGTTATTTAAAAATTTACCTTAAAAAAGATTTAGTAAAAATGCAATTCAAGACAAGATAAACAGAAAGTTATATGAGTTGTATCTATAGATGTAAGGGAAACAAAAAGATAAATGTGAATTAAATTAATCGGATTATTGGTTGGTGCAAATTGTAATTTGATCTGATGACGTAATTATAAGGGTCCAATGTTGCCTTTAAATAATAGTGGATTTATTTAGCGAAAACAACTTCGAACAATATTTAATTATAGAAAGTGGAATAATATATTAACTATATTTATACTAGCAATAATAAAATGATACTTTACCTAAACATTATTTTGTTAAAATGGCTTATACGAGTGGCTAACAATGTTTAACAAATGTATTTTTTAAAACAGACCGGTAAATAATTCTTCTATTAAAAAAAGGTTTTAGATAGTATAATTTATTTATTTGAAAATATATCTGGTCTTCTCAAAGTATCTGCTTAATTTTGTTAAATATTCAGAACATTAATCAATACAAAGGTTGAGGATTTTACCCGCTGCAAACAAAGCAATCAATATTGATAAATCGATTCTTGTAAACTTCACTAACGCAATTCAGGATCATTTACTTATCCTTACCAGATACACTTATGATTTGAATTTAGAAGACCGGGGTTGTGGTTTAGAACCTGTTCCGAATATCCTTTAAAATTGAGCAGATATTTTTAAAAGTACCCAAATTGTTAGTGTTAAGAAAATAAATAACTGACGTCTTATATCTTATTGAACGACACAGAAAGTGTTGCACAACGAAATTAAGTGTCAAAGTGTATAGCCAAGTGAACATAATATTGTCATTTATGTGGCAAATAAACTTAATAAATAAGAAAAATTCTCGAAATCTTAATGTTTTAGTCATTGAGAATTCAGGAATCATTTCATTGATTCGGTGTTTATGCAATAATAGTTAGAGAAAGTTATGGAAATACTCAAATACTGTAACATTCGACTTCGTTCTTAAACAAGATAGTAGAGGGCGCTTTTACACAATTCATAGTTCCAGAAATTCACGAAGTACGTCAAGGACATAATGGTTAGTATATATTTGTAAGTGGTTGATATATTTTCCTTTAGAGTTACAAAAAATACAAACAGAGTTTTGCTAAAAGTATCAATAACCCAGTTCCTCTTTACCCCTTTACCAGTTTCCTCTTCATGATCCAGAAATCCCTTGCTTCTATGAAATGTTCCTACTCAAAGCAGGCTAGGTCCACTCCACACTGTGGGCATGAAGCTACAAGTAATCATGCGCCGCCCGCAGGACACAGCAGCTCGATACGAGCTTACAAAAGATCCCTCGCTCGGAACGAAGATCCTTTCGCTTTTTGGTAGACTTATAGCAATTAGTTTCGGTAAAAAGTCTTGTTACACATTTTTTTAGTTTCGCGCCCTTCCGCTCAGAGCGTGTAACGCGTGATAAGGAACTTTATTCTAACAGAAACTCATGTTATATCACACGAAGTACATCAAAGGCAAAAGAGAAGTGAATTGTGTCGGAACAAGAGTCATTATGTGTATAAATGATTTCCCTCGGTGGAACTTTTGAACATAACACATTACATACTTGCTTTTACCCTCCGCCGCTTATTGCGGTAAAAACTATCCTATGTCCTTTCCCGGAACTCAAACTATCTCTATAGCAAATTTCATTTCAATCACTTTAGTGCCTTGAGCGTGAAGAGGTAAAAGACAGACAGACGGACGCACACTTTCGCATTTATAATATTAGTATGGATTCTATATTACATATTCTGTACTTAAAATATAATTAAAATAATAATCCCGTGTATTAGAATTATAGCATAATTAATTTTGTTATTTATATGTCAAAGCTCATTTTTCATTTCACTTGTGATACGTGCACAACACACAATTAAAGACTGTGCCTCATGTAAGCTGACCTTTAGTTTATTTATAATTTTAGGAATAGCTTTTTTGGTTCCTTTATCTAACTAATAATGTAAATCACAAATACTAAGTCACAAGTAAATCTATGCAGTATATATGTCCTGTATTTCTGTGCCTTCGTAAATTCCAAGAGTTAAAGAATGAATATTATTTACATGTGTATGTCCAAAATGAATGTGATATTAGTTATTTTCACAATACAGTAAGTAATTGAATCTCTTTAGACGTAAAACTGAATGTCTTTCGATGTTCTAATACTCATTGTTCGTATTTAATTAAAACTGTTTCAAATTTAGATTGTTTTGTTTTATTTCCTACTTTACTCGACTCTACTGGACTTATATCAAACAAGGGGGATTAGATTCCGAATAAACAGTAAAATATGTTATGCTGTTATAACGCTTTGAATTAGAGGACGCATGAACAAGCGCTCAGAGAACGCCGTATATTAGAATTAGCATGAAACGTGTACAGTCAATTACGGTACGACTATACAATCTATAGGTTTAATACTGCGATCTGTCGCATAAATTAGCGGTATATCTCCAAATTACACGTGAGCCGCATAGTCAGGTGTTTTTGTATTACACCGCTAAGTTAGAAAAGTCTGACATGTTATATCGAAAAGTTGGAATTTGTGAGTTTTTGAATGACAGAGCCGTTAATGTGTGTGCTACTAAATATTGCAAAAATATTGCATTTTCTGCTTATTGCCGTCATTAAAACTATAAGGGTGGAGGGATGAGTTACAGTTATGAACAACGCGAGAGTGAATTGTTGCTAGTATCGTTATCATTTGAAAAAACAAGTTTAAAAATCGGAACTTTGTCGTGCTGTCAAAAACACATACCTTATACCCATGTGTTTTTGACAGCACGACAAAGTTTTTCTAACCAATTTCATAGCATTTGCTTCTCACCTAAATTAACACAGCAGGGTCTATATCTATTGCACCAGGGACTTCCTTTCTAGGGTATACCTGGTTCTGGTACCTGGTATTAGTACCCGAGACGGCGTGCGGTTTTAGTCCGTTCGAGTCCGACATGCCACCGATAGGTGGTATCCGAGGGGATTTCCGCACGGAAAAAAAAATTAAGGGTCTATATCTATAAAAGAAGAAACTGACAGTCTGATACGCTGACTGATCGATCAACGCACAACTGCAAGCGCTGGGTCTAGAGGCATGGCCTTTTTCACAAATATTCACAATAATAGGTGACATAGGTTTGCACTAAATTATTTTTTGTTTGATCCAGTAGTTTTTATGATGAACATTTTAAATGTTCATCATAAAAACTTACTTTATTAGTTTTACTACTTAAAAGGATGGCAGCGCGTTTGTGACTCCTGAGTTGCACACGTTCATGGGCGGCGATGGTCACTTTCCATCAGGTGACCCGTCTGCTCGTCTGCCCCCTCTGACATAAATAAAGAAAAGAAAACGCCCGGACAAATCTTCATATATCGAGTAATTATAAACTATTTAATATCAGAATATAACTCAGGCAGACAGAGTACAGGAAACGTCTAATTATCGAACTTTAAATACTTGATTTTTCAGCTTTGATTTGTAAGGAGGAAGTGTGTACCGTGGAGGCATCGGAAAGTCTACGAGAGAATAATAGCACATCCTAAGCTCAGAACACCCACTGAAGAGAGATAAATCGACTTATTGGTCTATTTTTAATTACAAGAAATGTAATGTCAAAAAATCTCACTTGATTTCTAAACAGAGCATTATCTTGTAACCTTTGTATGTGTATTCAACACAAATTCCATCCATTAAAGATTTTGTGCTCTGCGTTTTTTCTTTATTTTTCTTTTGTTCAGTACCTTTGCCGCTGTATGGAAATGCATGCTGTCAATAAAACATTGAAATATTTTGATAAAATATTCGGCACAAAATGTTATATTAGGAAAGATTTTAACTGTTTTTTTTCTGGTGAGTAATGTCTTTCATCGCGCTTTCCTGAGTCTGTGAAAGTGATTTCATGAAAAGGGACGTCAGACGCATTACTGATTAAGAATACGGAGTGTCACCACCCCTTTTCCTGCCATGGGTGTCGTAAGAGTTGACTAAGGGAGTAGCTCTGCATGACAACAGCGATGTAAAGAGAAAGAAAACTTGACACAAACCCTATAGCAAACCGTCTGGCAGAATGTGGCAGAGTATGGCAAACCTCCTTTCTAAGGAGAAGCCTACGTCCAGCAGTGGACTATTAAAGGATGTTGATGATGATGATGAAAAGGGACGTAAGTGTGTAACAGGAAGCTGGATCATCATCATGTTAGATAGCGGACAGGATGATGGATAGCGCGTAATATTTACCCTGACCAGTAAGCGCGGGGGTGATGGATGTCAAATACTACACATTATATGGGAATACTGTAAGGCTAGGTTCTTTTTTTTATAGTCGACCGCCTGCCGAACACCAACTCTTCTTGGAAATTTAACAGTTTTCAGACGGGACAAAGCAACTTAAAAATGTAACAACGTGAATCAGGAGGGGATACAGTTTTCGTAAAACGATTTCTTTTTACACGCTTTATATTAGCTTCACTTGTATGTTTGTATGTTTGTTTGTAACCGACTCTTTTGGGCGTGATTTTGACTGACATTAAATGGTCAGAATTCGTTCAAACTTTGTAGATATATCGAGGACCGGTGACAATACACTAATTAAAACAAATATTTAAAAAAAGTTTAAAGAAACTAAAAAACAAGCTTTTTTATGGAAAACAAAACTAAAAAATAGAAATAATGAATTTGCAAAAATCGTGGGGTGCTTTTTACTATTGACAACAGGCACCCAACGTTTTTTTTCAATTCTTTTAGTTCTATAAAAAGCGTGTTTTTTAGTTTTTCAAACTATTTTT